GTTGCTGCCCTCACCCCCACCCCTAGATTGGCTACACTCCCCCTGGCTCACGAATTCCCCGATTCTCGTGACAGTATAGTAGCGGCAGCAGTCCCACTTACATACATTTCTGTTCAAAAAATGCGGCGTGCCCACCCTACTTGTATAGCACCGGCGAGGGTACGTATTCTTGTTAGGTTTGCTTTTGAAGCCGCAAGCCAAGATGATACAGGAGCTTTATTCGGCTAACGTTTCGGCTTTCGCCTTCGTCAGAGCCTGGAAAGTCAGAATCAGTGCGACCTACCGCAGACATCATTTCTAACTTCGAAAAAGTCCCCATAGACTAGAAGCACTAAGGGAGCGTCGTAAAACACAGCGAGCGAATATCACACACGATGCCGAGATTCATCTAGCGTCGAACCTATGTGCTATTCAACCTATGTAATTTTAGGGTATGCAGAACGCAATATTGTTTTTGGCCACACATGGATTATGGATGAGCCCATGGTCGAAGCTACTGTGACGTGCGGTTTTTCATATGTGCTCAGGATACAGCTCATGTGAGTTCTGAGACTTGACACCCACTCAACAATCGGTCGTATTTGATGCGAAACCCGTACGGATCAAAAGTTAACCATATTATATTCTAGAGAATCAACTCACTATTGGGGGTCTCAATGCGCTCAGCCATCGTTCTCGATCCGTTTCCGATTCGGCGTTCAGCAATAATTCAGTTTGCCTCCCTCGAGCGTTTCTCATGAACACACAAAGGAACAAATGAGGACGCGTTGGAAACGCTGTTAAGGCTACCTGAAACTGAAAGTATTCATTGAAAACCGATAAATTAACAAGTTGCAGGAAACTTGCCCGGTCATTATCTATCTCTACAGGTTGCACGTCGACATAACTCCTTGCTGCGTAGTCTTTGCATTCAAAGGTGCCGTTCCTGCAAAACTCATCTTAGCCTTTAATGACATCCGTGCTCTTGTGAAGCTATAACACTTACAGTTTCTTTTTCGTGATCAGGATAATATCGGAGAATAAGAATATGTACACGTTTCGAGTCTTCTGCTTCCCCTGAAACGGAACATTTATAGAGGATTTGTGAAATATTCATCAACATTTCGGTAAGGGTTCGTTTCTCCTAGAATATGTCTACGGGAAAATCTGCTCAAAAGCTAAAATTAGATATTTAGCAGGACTTTGTGCTACGAGACACCTCTAATTATAGTCAGGAGTCAATTATAGGGGTGAGAATCCTCCCATCGAATAAGGTAAAAGGTAGTGAAGCGCACTGAAGGAAAGTGAAGTGGGTTCCAAAAAGCGGCAACAAATCGAAAATATCGTGGTTGTAATTTTTCGAATGAGAAGCATTAGACCTTCGGGATTGGATGCTCCCTGTTTCACAGCGGGTTCTGCTCAAGAACACCCGCATTTGTTTTGGCTGTTCATATAGAACTCAGCTTATGGAGCCCACAAAATTTCAAAACGGGGAGCATAGCCGATTAATATATTCAAAAAACATTTCACTCCATAGTAGTCAACAAGTTCTGTTCGTATTCGCATGTCACTTGATCTTCGCTCCATCCGTAGTCAGTATTAGGTCGACATAGGTAACTACTATGTCCGCCCCAAGTAACACTCATTTGTTGTTCATCAGGTATGACCCTGTCCTTCCTATGCTCTTTGATGTACTAAATACTTTTACTGCCTACTTTACCACATGCGTATTTGCACACCACGTGGTCCGTCGAACCACGCCTCTTATTGTCGCCCCCAACTCCAAGCGCCAATAATGTCGAATCGCGCCGAACAACAAAATAAAAAGCATTTTTTCGTAAAATTTTCACTATTAGCGCATTAAAACGACTCATGGTCTTAAGCTTTGCTGATCATCGTATCCTGAAATAAAAGAAACGTTTGAAAAGGAACTCGGCCTTTAAAGAGGTTATATTGAAAACCTAGAATTCCAATTTACCGTTGGATTTTCACCATAAGTTCACAACTCCCTCGCTTGGTCGTCTCAGACTTTCATAACAAGAAACGTAGAGGCCCTGATCTGAATTCACCTTTCAATTTAATCACGACCACGCCTCTTATTAACACCACTAAAATACATTCGCCGAGCGAAGTACCTCATATCCTAACACTCACATACAAATAGCTATAACACTATTTCAAAAGATATGCCTTAACATACGGCGTAACGGAGCTGGCTAAATATACTGATACATGACACATTTTAATGGCGTAAAAAAAAAAATTTAGGTCGCACCTTCACTATCGACCATTTTCCCATCGCGGCGGCACATAGTGCAACCGCGCGGGGCCATGTCGCCAAGGGTAACGTGAGCGGGAGGTAACATTTGAACTCAAGGAACATGCTACATATGGTACAACAAGAAGCTTCGGCTTCGCACCGCGTGAATTAGTGTTTATCTGTTAGCTCTTTTGAAATTACACTGTTCGCGGCCAGCATTGGCATTCCTTGCACCCAATAATTTTTTTTGTTGCTCTCCCTTAGAGGATGAGCATTGAACACAGTTGGTGAGTGAATTTGCAAAGGCCTGCGCTTTAATGTCTTTCTTTTTTCTTAGGTGCTTGATTGCTCTCCCATGCTTAATTTGGAGCACTGCTGGTTATTTATTTGCACATACATATGGTGCACCTACATATGTATGTGCAATAAATAATCAAACCAGTATATGGCAGAGAAGGTTTCGAACCTGCAGAATGTTCCTGTTTTTCCTTTCCAACAGTTGCACCAATGAACCTCTCTTGACAAGATATCGACAATTCGAAGACAAGGGCGATCTTTCTGAATGGGAAGAATTTTGCTTTTTCCTTGGATTGTCAACCGAAAAGTTCTTCTTGGTCTCACTTAAGGTCTGGATCCTTGTAGATTAGCCGACTATCCACTTCAAGCAACTGTTCTGTTCGTTCCATTCTGCGAGCGCCCTCATTGCATTCACCCACCACCTGAACATTTATTTTGCCAAAAATAGCACCGTGTTGTGAACACGACCGTAACAGCGTCGTATGCTTCTAAATACGGAATATCCCTCCACAGGTGAATCATGGTGAAAGACAGCAAGTCTTGCAAACAACTTTCACGATTCCTTGAACAACCCTTATTGGCCGCATGTAAAGCTCTCGTTGCAACCTCATATTCGTCGCATCCCCTCTGAAGCCGATCCAATATTGCGTACACGAGAAGCGGATACCTGAAACAATATGTAGTAGTCTCCACATACGTAATGAATAATCATCGTTCCCCAGCCGTATTGGATACTTTTCAGGAGATGATTCTCGATGCGCTTCACAACTCGTGCCCACTTTCTCATAACTAATTCAATTCCCCTCGCGTATGCGATTACGATCGCGGAATACCTAATCATCACGTGTCCAGGGAGGCGTCCATGTTATGCCAGGCGAAATGAACCCTTGAGGACCAGCCTTCACGCACCTCCGTAAGGTCTTCATCTTTACCAGTTGCCAACAGCCTATGAAAATATAACCGTTATCAAATAGAATAATCCATCGTTCAAACAGTTAATTTGATTGATTGTGATCAACAAAATACTGAAAAAAAACAAAGATTCTATCCTTTTCTCTCTCTTCAGTGCCTTCCGCGTGGTGGCGTGCTGCACATGGTGCAGCACGTGGTCCGCAATGGGTTAAAAACCGTTCATTCATCTCAATACAGTGCCATGAATTGAACAAGCTTCGCGTGGGTGGATAGTGCGCTAGACGATCTATGCTAATTGATGTCAACTGCTAAGCTCTGAGCGCGCATTTTGGTAGACCATGCAGCTATAAGGAAGTTTCGGCCAGAAATTAAATAAAAGTACCTTGTGACGCGTTGCATCGGGAGCATAAGGAATGATCTCATGTCGAGTCCTTGGCACTGTTTGTCGGCCTCCATTCTGGATACGGCATTCAGAAAGGCTGGATTTTCAGCCTTCAAACGGCGCAGTGTCCTCTCTTGGTAAACCTGGAATGATGTGGACTCTGAAGGGATACGACTGCGTGATTAATGAGATGTGATTTATCAAACACTTGAAGGCAAATTTGACGATGAAAAAGCAACCCATTGGAAATTATGTTAGGATGGTCAGTGATACACGAAAGAAGAAAAAACCGAGAAAAATGGCCTGAAACCCGAGAAATGGGACCCCTTCTTTGCCCGTTGTTTGCGCTTTGATGCAACTGGCCCCATAGAAAGGCTCACCGACGGTGCGGACGAGTCCGCGTGTTGGTGACGTCACTTTGACGTCACTGCGGTGGCGAGTTATCTAGCAAGGACCCGCGTTGCCAAGACTTTAACACATTATATTACGAGCATTTATCGTACTCTCACTGTTTAGTAAGTAGTGGTGTAAGAACTATTCAAATCGAAGAAAGGACTCACAAAACTGAAACAAAATAAACTTCTGCAGAATTGAGTTTATGCATGGGTGCTACTTGTAGCAATAGACGTTTGGAAATTCTCCTTCTCTGGGGTGACAAGAAACACAATTATTTCACTCCCTGCACTATGACTAAACAGGTTAGCCAAGTGCCAGCAAACAGTTAGTTACTTTTCGAGCAAGCTATCCGTTGGCCCGCTTTCATTTCACTTCTCCAGCAGTGACGTCACAAGCACGCGGTCGCACACGCACCGCCGGTGAGCTTTTCTGCCCCCTCCCGATGCAACTCCCATCGATGCTGCCTCCTCAACACTAAGGCCGATGTCATAGTTTGCGAATCGAGCGAATCGCTGGATCCGAGCATGTGATGTATCATATGATGATGCTTTGGATAAAAAATGCAGGAAGTGTTTATTTACGTGTTGATGGAAAGAGCAATGAACAAGTGCTATGGGAACCAAACAAACCTTTCAATATTCGAAATTTTTAGTTTTTCGTAGAAAAGGAATTGATTTTTCAAAGGAACGATCAGAGCTTTTGACTAGATAAAACTAACGAACACTGAGAGTTTGGTAAACGTTTTGCATGATGCAAGATATATGTAAGAAATGTTCGAGTGCTGAATAAGCTTCATGCGTGATAAGAAAACAATAGAAAGGAGGGAATCGAAATTTGTAGGATCCATAATGCTCTCTTTGGGAAATGTATTAGACAGCAAAATAACTTGCTGAAGCCTCCCACCTGATTAGAGCAATACTTGATGTAGACGTCGAAATTCGTCTCGAAGTGGTGTACAAGAATGCTACACAAGTCGTCCAATACAAGATTGTGCTCTAACCTAGTCTCCAAATCACAAAGTAACCTGGAAATGAGAGTGGTTGTCAAAGATAAATATTTACCCAGCTACTACCTAATTTATAAATCGCATTGCAGATATCTTCTCACCGTTCACTGCAATCCCGCACTGCGAAAATATTGCTGAACAGATGCTTCCTGTCCGAATTTGAAATCACGGAAAAAGCACTCTTCGAGCCTGGAAATGAGCAATCGTAAAATGAGAATGTAGTTCCTCAACGGAATAGCAGAAGAAAGGATGTAATGAGCGAGAGTCGAAAACCGAAACGATAAGCTTTCGTAGCTACTTTCCCTTGTTATTGCACCGGGTACCCCCAGGAGGCCCGTCGCGCGGCAAGAAGGCAAAGTCAGCGGACGAGTCGCGCGCGTACTATAGGGATTTCGCGTCAAGTTAAAAGAGTGTCCCATTGCACGTCCTACATCGCACATCACGCGCTGCAACTCGTCCGCGACTCTGCCTTCTTGCCGCGCGACGGGCCTCCTGGGGGTACCCCACCCTTGCAATGCTCCCTCACACTTTGACAGTCCGATTCATATCCATTTTTAAACACCAGTATTCGCTCTGATTACTCGAGAAAAGACGCAAAAAACGCAAATTCGCGACTTTTTCGTGATTTTTTTGGAACTAAGGGAAGTACGCATCCGGCGATCAGCAGTTTGTAGATGTTGAAGCACTTGGTTGAATTCATTTCGTGATCGCAGGCATTGCGAAGCGCCACCCTTATGTGCTATTCCACTACTCAGCTGTTTTTGACTGTTGACTGGACGCCCCACTCAAAGAAAACTGACAGAAGTGCGAATGAGGATGCCTTCGCTCATAGGTGATTTCATTTCCATTTTTATTAAATTTGTTTTTAAAGTTGTTTCAGTGCGAGCAGAACTCTCAAGAGCGCACACGTACACAGCCGGATACATGGTTTCATGTAAATGAAAAATACCATCAAGTGTTATCGGAGAGGACGTTATATCCGAACTTCGCCACAGTTTGTGCAAAGAACTGCAAAAAGCCGGAACAAATGAACATTCGAAAGTTAGTCCCATGCAATGGGCAATGCTCCTTCAGGGCAGGGTCAACCGTCCGTTCGAACTGTTCGAACGAAGGGGTCGCATTTTGGTCGGAAGGGGGTCGCAATTTCGAGGACTGCCAGCCACAGGCGCGTGCGTGGCGTATCCGAGGGCAAGAATTGCTTGTGCAGACCGCATTAGATTCGATTTATTATGCACAGAGAGACAGTTTTAGGCAAATTACGGTGTTTTCCTACGGAGTAAAGAACAGTTGAATGCATCCCTATGAAAGGTTTGACTTCTCGGGGCTGAAAATAAAGTTCTTCAAGACCTAATTTTTTGGGACGCTTCTTCCAGAGAACTGTAATATACATAAGTAAGCGTAAATCGTAGTCTTCAAAAATGTCTTCGCCCTCCCCAACAAGCTTCTTTGAAGGAAGTTATTATTGCTGAAAGCTCAAAAACTCGCATGTGCTGCTCAAAAACCTATGGGAACAAAATGTTCGAACGTGTGATTTTCTCGGAAAATGGATTTTGAAAAACGGTTTGGTGCTTGTTAGAAAGAGCAAATCCTGTACTTTCACCCCATGAAAAAAGTGCATCACAGAAATGAAAATGAAGTGAGTTATGCCCGCTTAAAGCCCAAAAACTCGCGATTTCAAAAAAAGTGTTCGGCAAAACCCCCCAAAATGTTCGAACGTGTGATTTTCTCGAAAAATGAACTTTGAAAAACGGTTTGGGGCTTGTTAGAAAGAGCAAATCCTGTACTTTCACCCCATGAAAAAAGTGCATCACAGAAATGAAAATGAAGTGAGTTATGGTCGCTGAAAGCCCAAAAACTCGCTTTTGCACGAAAATGTTCGAACGGGACAATTTTTTGAAAAAGGGGACAATCACTAAACTTTTTTATACTGTTTTGTAGAGAAATATTTGAAGTTTCTGAAACTTTTTACAGCTTTCCAAAATGTCGCATACGAAAGATATTTATGGGCCTTCAAAGTTGAAGGTGCGCCTTCTTAGAATTTTGGGTTTTCCACTTCTAACAGAAGTACTTTCCGGAGAGTTAGGCAATCCTTGTAGTTTTCTGAAAGCGCACCTCAGGCACAATCAAAATCTACCTCAACAAGTCAAAAAAATACGTCCCAAGAAAGTTATTCCCTCTAAA